TATTTTTATTTAATTTTATTTATTATTATTACTTTTTAATTTGACCAGAGAGACAGAGAAAGTGAGAAGGCAAACTGCCAGATCCGAGACTCAAATCAGGATCAGCCACATGGGAGTCCAGAGAGCTTAACCACCATGCTACCTGCTGGCCCTGAGATTAGTATATAATCTCTATGTAGTCTTCTGTTTCCATAGCCTTGTGCTCTTTTCATACTGGGAATCATTATAACTTAAAAAAAATAGAAAAACGCCAGTGACAAATAGGACATTATGTAGAAGAAAGGTAAAAAGAAAGTAACTTGAGAAACAGATATACAGAACAGAAAGTGGACCACAGGAAACAGTAAATTTGCCCATAAAAAACACCAAATGGTGTTTGTATTTTAGCCACTTGGTCTCAGAGTAGAGCAGGCAGGAAGTGCAGTTGGGAGGCCTTGATCCTCACTCTCTTGTGTTAGCTAAGAGGGCTATGATGTGGCTCTGGCAGGCAGCTCACCATGACGTAGTGTGGAGACTCAGGTCTGTTTCATGCTTTCTTTCCACAGGCAAGTTTTTTTTTTCAGTTTTCATGAAGTAATTAATTTTGTTCAATGTCTGTATCACCTCAAATCTAATCTGTAATAAAAAATTTGTGGTTTCTTTTTATTTTGCACAAGCTCATCATCAGTCTTCTTTTTTTTTTGGGGGGGGGGAGAGATTTTTGCTATAGGGTGTGGTGTGCACTCACCAGAGAGACAGAGACAGAAAGTGAGAAATCATCACCTCTCAGGGAGGATGGCCACACTACAGTTCCCTCTCCCCCATTCTCCTTTTGGGATCTTGGGCAGCACGCACATGTGCTCAGTGTGAATTTTAAGTCGCTGGGACTAGGACTTGAACCACAGTCGACTACGTGGGAGTCCAGTGATGTAACTGTTTGCCAGCTATGCGCTGATCTCGTCATCATGAGTCTTCTTAATAACCATTTAAAAATATAATATTATCAATATTAAATATTAAAAATGGAGTAGATATTCCCTCCTCCCACCAGATTACTTTTTCCAGAGGAAGCTACTGTAACAGTATAGTACATCTCAGACAAAATTTTCTTCTGCAAACACATATGTGTATTTGTATGCATATGTAAAAAGAAGCACTCTCTCAACTTCCTTGGATTTTGGTATCTCACCAGTGTTTGATTTTCCAAGGTATATTATTAACTAGAATAATCAATCTATTCTCCTCACTCCTGCAATGCTCATCTTGTAGACCTTTAGCCCTTGGGGAACCTTTAGTATCAGGTCAACTGTGAAGTCATGTCACGTTGGCTAGAGGGCAGAAAGTCACTTACCATATAGAACCTTCCGCTTACCCTCAAATCTACTGTTTCTCTACCTTGTGGCAGAGACTTTATGACTCCCGGTCTCCTCAAAGTTAGGAACATAAGTTATTCTTCTCCAGCTTCCTAAGTGGGATAATTTTGGGAGGATCACCAAGCTGCACACTTCTTTTGGAGCCATTCCTAAATTATTTTCTATTTAGACATTTAAAAAAACTTTTTTTTTGGAGAGGTTTTTGCTATAGGGCACGTGTGCTCTCCAGAAAGAGACAGAGAGACAGAAAGTGAGAAATCATCCCCCGGGGGGATGGCCACTTCACAGTCCTTTCTCCTCCATTTTCTCGGGATCTTGGTCATGCACGCAGATGTGCCGGTGTGAGTTTAAGCCACTGAGTCTGGGACTTGAACCGTGATTGACTACATGGGAGTCCAGCGACATAGCTATTATGCCAACGGCTAGTCCCTAGACATTTAAAATTTTTTTAGCAGGGCCAGCAGGTGGTAAGGCTCTAGACTCCCACATGGTTGACTATGGTTTCAAGTCCCAGACCTGGCAGCTTACTTTCTCACTTTCTTTCTCTCATCAAATTTTTAAAAATTATAATGATAAATAAAATTAAATAATTATTAAAAATTATTTTAGCGATTTAAAAATTCTCTCTTCCTGCTTGGAAGCCTCAGTTGGGTCTAATTCATGCTCCATGGGACCAGCAGTTGGCATAATGGCTATGTCACTGGACTCCCACCTAGTCAACCATGGTTTGAACCCTGGACCCGGTGGCTTAAACTCACACCAGGCATGTGGGCGTGTGTGCCCAAGATCCTGAGAGGAGAATGGAGGAGAAGGGATTGCAGTGTGGCCAGTCTCTCCTGGGGGCTGATTTCTTGCTTTCTTTCTCTCTGTCTCTCTCTGTCTTTCTGGTGAGTGCACGTGCCCTATAGCAAAATTCTCTCAATATATATATATATATTTCATACTCCAGAATCCACCTTCCTTAAAAAGCTCTCTTTCTACTAACAGTGTGTAAGTTTTCAGGAAAGCTAACTCAAGGTCACTATACTCTGCGCCCATTGGTTTTTACAGTCCAGTTTTAGGTTATACCCAATTTTTGTAAATGAGCAACTGTCACCACCCTCTGATAGCCCCTGCAATTCTGGCACTGCTAATTTCCTCTTATGCTAAAGTTTCTGAGTCTTAATGTCCTCATCTTTAAAATGGGAAGGGTAATAATACCTACCTCATGGGATTGTATTGATGCAAAATGAAATTATTGTGAAGAAATCCTGAGTGCACTTTATTGGCACACACAGTGCCAAACACTCCTATTTACTAAATAGGAGTATTCATTCATTGTGTTTTCTCCCTTTCTCTTGTCCTTTTCTCCTTTTTCCTTTTCTTTCATTTACTATATTAGAGATGAATAGACATGGTCAGTGGATAGAGAAATGTGTAGGGCTTTAAGCTGGGAGGAGTTTACTGTGGTGTTTGTATATAAAATATAAATAAAATGAACTTTTCATCCAGGATTCATTTTTGGATTCTTCAAGCTCTGACTAAATCTTCTCCTGCCACCTTCTGGTCAGGAGAGGGGACGAACACCAACACCAAGTTTTTCAGCCATGAGACAGTGAAATCTAGCAGAATCCAGATTACACCCACTTCCAATCACACTGTATTTGGGCAAGCCACTTAGTTTCCAGGTAACATACATGAGGATGTCCATTTTTACCTGCCACAATTTTAGGTGTCTGAAGAAATAAGTTCCTGTGTTGCAGATCCATCATTTTTCTTTGGAGCTTATCTTCCGAAACATCCACTAGGGCAAGTTCGTCAGCCAGACTTTCCCAGGATGCTGATTGCACATGCCATACTAACTTGCCCAACACCCACGACAGTGATCTTATTGTTGGGGACCGTTGCCTCTTCTTTTGCAATTGGTGCAATGAGTTTATCCTTAAGAGTTGCCATTGTGCAGAGGGCAGAGAAAGCTCTCAAGATGGCTGGAACAGTCGTGCGAAGAAGACAATGTCAGCTGTGTACTTCTCCACCCACACAGGGTCTCTCAGATTACATTTTTATATACTCTTCATCAGGCTTCTCTCTGACCTCTGACGTCCAAGCCTATGAGTCCTTAAGTCTTTGGAGCAAGTTGTGGGCTTAAGTGAGTTTATCCAGGTCCAGCTCTTAGCTGGGGAAAATGATTAAAGTCTGTGATTTCTCTTTTTCTGTCACTTGTTTTTTTATTATATTTTGATACTCTGTTAAGAGAGTACCCTGGGACCAGCAGTTAGCATAATGGCTATGTCGTTGGACTCCCACATAGTCGACCACGGTTCGCGTCCCGAACCCGGTGGCTTAAAACTCACACCGGGCGCATGTGTGCGTGCCCAAGATCCTGAGAGGAGTACGGAGGAGAAGCGATTACGGCGTGGCCATCCCCCCTGGGGGGTGATTTCTCGCTTTCTGTCTCTCTGTCTCTCTCTGTCTGTCTGGCGAGCGCACGCACCCTATAGCAAAAACCTCTCCAAAAAAAAAAGAAGAGTGTACTCTAAGGAAGAATGTGGAATTTTCTCCTTTTAGTTTCATATGCTGCCTAGAACTTCACAGATTGCATGGAGTGCATGTAAGATTCCATATATTCATGCAATTATTTGTAGATCCACAACATCTGCCGATAGTTTCAACTGAATTATTAATCTCTTCAGTAAGTCTATACATTCTGTTCTTTCAGAACAGAAACTACCGGTTATATTTAATTCATAGATGCTTCTTACTTATGATGGGATTATACCCCTAAAAACCCATGTTAAGTTGAAGATATCCTAGTTGAATATGAATTTATTACTGTCGGTTGCTTACCCTTGTGATCAGATGGCTAATTAGGAGCTGCAGCTTGCTGCTCCTTCCCTGCACTAGTTCAGAAAAGATCAGAATTCAAAAATCAAAGTATGATTGCTACAGAATTCTTGTCACTTTCACACCATGTTCAAGTTGAAAAACTGTAAGTTGAACCATATTAAGTTGGGGGGCTATCTGTATATATATTTCATGTGGATTGTTGTCTAATTTTGTTGTAGTAATAGACTGCATTTATATTTAGAATTGCTTTTGATGCCTAAGCACCATGATTCATATACTCAGTATCTTAGTATACATAGTTCTTTTTTCTTGGGTTTAGGAAAAAACCCTATTAGAGAGAAATGTATTTTGGCTATCCTGTATGATGAGGAAATGAGTAAGGTTGGTGAAAAATTGCAGAAACTTGGAATTTGAAAACTTATAATCTTCAGTGAGCACTCACTGGAGGCCTACTGGATGCCAAACACATACTTTCTTTTTAACTAGTGGTATGGTAAGACGTGGTTTCATAGAACATATTTGTTAGGTTACATATTAGGCATTAATAGAGCCTTTGGTATTTAACCATTTCTAGAATATTTGGAATTCTTAAACCCACTTATAATGAATTAGCATATGTAAAAGGTAAAGAAAACTAAATATTACTCTTTCTGGAAGTCTTGTAACGCTATTAAATTACTAGAAAATTTGCTACATCTGATGAGTAACTGTCCTTTCCTTTCCTACATTTTCTATGTTTTCTGTAATTCTGTCTAGTTAAATAGGTTAAAATCCTGCCCCATCTCAATCTTTTTCTTTGATGGATGTCTTTGCATCCAATATCCTAATGATCTTAAAGGTTTCTTGAAACTGCAGAGGGAGGTAAGCTGAGCATTTTCTTCCTATCTGCTACTCCATTACAGATAACTCAGGAGTTCTGCATGTCTATGAAGGTATGCAGTGCAGTATGTGGAGTATACGGTACAGCTGTAGGAACTGAATGAGCATATTGTTTGTTTAAAGTCAGGAATGAAGAATGGTCTGACAACATGAACTTTGGTGTCATACAAAATCTGGATTTGAATCCCACCATTTAATTAGTTTCGTGAACTTGGTGGGGGGAGGAATTTATTTAACTTCCTTGGCTTCTGTTCTGTCATTTGTGAAATATAGGTAATGCTATGTATTTCATCTTGTTATGTAATATATAGTATGAAGTACAATGACATTATATGTTAAGTCCCAATGAAGTTTTTTGTTATTAGTTTTTAGACTAGTTAGTAAACTTTTTCAAGAGAAGAGACTGTATTACCCTATATCCACAAATACTGGATAACTATAGAAGGCTGACAGCTTTTCTTTTTGCTCCTTTCTCAAATTTGCAGTTGAGGGAGTGGGAGGGAACAGATGTGTGGGTCTGTTTTTCTAAGTGGTGCGGATAATGGCAGCTTACTTCCATGTGCATCCACTACTATGTGAATTAACCTAACCGAGCTTAGCAAGGGTGTGGTCTTACATTTCATTTTCTCCCAAGTCTAGATGCTTTTTAAAAGTTAACTTGAAAGTTAAAAAAATATATATCCCCCCTAGTAGTAAATGGTACTCTCTAGAACATGAAAGAAATATGATTTTATATTAAGAGCCATAATAGAATTTATAAAAAATAATTATTTGATTTTATTACTATTAAATATTTTAAAATTTGCTCTAGGGCATGTGTGCCAAATCGAAAGAGAGAGAGAGAGAGAGAGAGAGAGAGAGAGAGAGAGAAAGTCACCAGGTCAGGACTTGAACCGTGGTAGGCCATGTGAGAGTCCAGTGCCTTAACCATTATGCCATCTGCTAGCCCACATAATAGAACTTATAGTAAAGTTTGGTATATAAAATTAGACTTGTCACGGGCAACTAACATCATCTATGGGCTCTCTCCCTGGAATATGTCTTGTGCATTTAGAGCTGTCTTATGTGCTGCACTGGAAGAATTATTCAAAGATGATTAACATCTAGTGAACATCTATTGTATTCTAGCCTTCCCTTGCTCCTTCCCATCACATGCATTTATCCTTTTGTGCTGGGTCATTATATATCAAGATAATACCAAAATACCAAGATGGATGAGAAATATTCAGAGAAACAGTAGGGGCTAGGGAGAGGACAAAGTGGAAAATAAGGTTAAGTGTAACAGAGAGAATGAAAAAGCCAGGAAATGTTGTTCTTAGCACTAGAGGGCCTGCAGAGAGGATGACACTAACACCTTCTGCAGTTCAGTTATTAATACATTGTGAAATGTTGGTCTAAGAAGCAGAAATAACAAGGTGTTCTCTTCTGGGGATATATTATGTAGAGATAGGACTAAATGATTACTCAAGGAGTCTCCCACTCTTATGATTCAGAATGATACAATGCAGTGGTATTTCTGACTTGGGAATTTTTTTTTTACACAAATTCCTAAAAGAAATTTAATCAGGGTTGAAAATACTAGCATGGCTAATTTTCTCCTTCTTTTGAACAGATAATGTAGAACGATGAAAATGTGTGCTAGTGTGAAAATTTTAGTGGGCCCTCTTTTTCTTCATTTATAGGAAGACTCTTCTTGTGATTCAAGCAAAGAGAAGAGGCGAGTGAAAAAAAAGGTGTCTTCTGGGGGAGTGTTTGTAAGAAGGTACTAATTAGTGAAGTAACTTTAAATAAATGTGCTTGATTTTTCTCTTGGTTTTAAAATTGACTTAAATGTAAATCTATATAACTTTTTGGAATTACTCTGATATGCTACTGTTACAGTTCAGAAGGCAGAAATATGTTATAACATCAAAGGGATTTCAAAAATTACATGGATTCAGTTGTACACCCTTCCCAATATTTTCTTTGATTTTCTATGCCAGAGGGTATGTGTGTGGGCAT